CCCCAAAACCCCAAAACCCCAAAACCCCAAAACCCCAAAATTAACTTATTCATTTAAAACAATTATCTACAAGTATGTCTAACTCCACTTCTACTTCTCTCAAAAATCGCTAAAATCACTTAAAACTCTCCAAATTCCTCATTAAACCCTTAAAATCTCATAAAACCTCCTTTAGCCTTTCCTAAAATGTCATATCGGCCAAAAATAGGTATAAACAAACGTAATTCCCTTCTAACTTCATAGTAACCAAACGTGTTGCCACTAAAAAGAATACTCACAGGTCAAAAAACTTAAGAAGCAAGGAACCCGACCCCGCTACTAAAAACCATAGAAAATAGACTTGACCACAAGTTAAGGTTAACCCAGAACACACAGGAGAACGACCATGATTATGACAAATTGTCCTATAAAGGCCTTAAACGGAACTAATGAGCCTGACACAGACAGTGAGTACACATACTCAGTCGAGAGCAAGTCTATTAAGAAAGCAAAGAGGTCTCAGGGTAAGAACATATGGCGATCTGTATAGCAACATCGAATACATCCAGAGAGTATGATAAACCTCCCAAGGGGGCAAAGAAAACCAAGGGAAGCAAGAAGACATCTAATGAGAAAGTAGCTAGTAAGAAGAATAGAGTGGAGTTTTTGAATGCATTCAAACGAGAGAAGTCTAGTAAAGGGTAATTTTGGACTATTAGGTTTAGAAGAGGAAGACATAAATCTGCTGTAGGAGAGATGAAACCTATCAAACTCTCCCAGAAGCAAAATGTAAGTATAGCCTTACTGTCTTCTATATAATATCCTGCTTTCTCGGAAACTCCTTGCTATCATTCATGAAGTTCTAATTTTTATCAGTCTTTTGCTTAACCTGTCCTATAATTTTTAACTGCAATTTTACAGGTTTATTTAAAAAACCAAGAAGAACAAAAAGAGACTGACGATGGAATATCTATTGAAATTATTGACCAATCAGACTTGGAAAGAGCTACCAACAATGAAAACTGCCTTGTGGTTGACTTGAGAGACATCCCTAGTCCGAAGATCACTCATGAGAAAGGGATGCCCATCTTGAATATCTCCTTAAAAGATTACAATGCTGAAGAAGAACAAAAAGGCAAGAAAAGCTCAAAGCAACCTCAGAGATCGAAGTCTTTATACAAAAGTTTAGACCAATCTCAAGATTCGAAGAAAGGAATATTCAGTACAGTCTCCATGAAGCAGCCAGCCCAAAAATCTGCCAGATTCGGAAAAATGGAAGAAGAGATCGATGTATCTGAACAAAATACTCTTGATTATGGAGGCACTTGTCTCAACCAAGAAAAGTTAGTATCAAAGGGTTATAAACCTCCAGAAAGACATGAAAATTTCAGCAGGTTTTTTGAAAGCTCTGGCCAAGTTCTGATAGATACTATCACTGATGATAAGAATAAAAGAACCAGTGAACTAATTAATGATGCTTTGAACACAATTGAGACCGTTAATAACCCAGGAGGAATTATTGATGCCCCTTCTATTGATAATATCACTCCAATCAAGAAGAAGATTGACCTAGATCATAAGAATGATGATACTCTTGATTTTGAAGTGAATCCTAATCCCATATTAGATACTACTCCTTCCCACTACCCTTCTAATAGACCAGGGGAGCAGATGTACGATAGTCCATTAAAGAAAGCATATCAAAACATGATTAAACAAAATGAGATGAAAAATGAGACTCCCTCTCCAGCTAAAGATCCTAAGAGAACCAGCACAGGTAAAAAGAAAAGAGATACGTCTAATATCAGGAAAAAATTAACTAAAAAGGAGGACTCAAAGACATCAATCCATGCTAAAAACAGAGAGTATTCAAACCACAAGCACCTGACTCCTCAAAAGAAAAAAGCTAGCAAGAGGAAATCCTCAAAATCTCCTCTCAGAAACTCGAAGCAGAGCAAGAATAACATCGTTGGGTAATTTTTGTTATAAATCTGTAGTATCAACATTGAACTTGAGGATGATCTAGATTCAACGGTAGACGAGAACCATAAGAAATTTATCCAAAATTCTGCCAACAAATTGAGAAGCAAGATGCAATCACAGGCTATGCTGAAGACTCAGACAAAGTCGATTGAAGTAAATTTCTCATCTAAAGAAACTGAGAAAGACAAGAACACCCAGAAGATATCCCAGACTACAGAGAATGCGCCTAATAATGAGGGAAAAGATCTCACAATTGGGCGTAACGAGGCTTCTAAACTTACTGTCTCTGATAAAAAGACTATCTCTAATATAGAAATGATATCTTTCTCTCCTTCTGGTGGGAAGCAGCTGAAGATAAACCAGCTTGAGGAGAAACTAACCCAGTCTGAAAGAATCATCCTTGAGCTACAAAATCGGCTAGAACTTAACGAAAATGTGTACAAGGAAAAGTATGAGAAAACTAAAAAGGAAATTCAAGAATTGGAGAGGGACAATATCTCCCTCCACCAGATGGTCAAATCAAAAATTAACGAAACCTCTGAGTTAAAATAATAAAAACACTGAGCTACAGCATAAAATCAGTTCTAACAACATGCTTAGTCAGAAGATGAGCATGACTGAGGAAGAACTGAGGATGAAGATTAATGATCTCATGAACAAGAACACTGAGCTCAACTTCTTGCTCAGACAGAAAGACGAGGAAGTCCAAGGAGAGAAAAATAAGTTAAAATAACATCCAGATTGACCTAAGCAACGCTCAGAATGTAGAAACTGGGTTAAATAAAGAAATTACTCAGCTTAAGAAGGACAGAGAAAGTATCTCTGCTGAGCTGAGAGACCTTAAAGATGAAAAATGAAGTATCCAGGTAGAACTCAGAGAACAAAAGTAAGCAAATGTGACTACTTTTTAGGGGAATCATTGACAATCTTCAAAGAGAAAATAAGGAGTTTAAGTCAAGATTTGAAGTTGTGAATGCGAATTCGGATAAAATGGAGAAAGAGATAGCCAGCTTGAATACAAAATTGTCAGCTCAACAACATATAGATGATAAGGTACATATGTATGAACAGGAAAGAGAGATTATCAAACAGGAATTACTGAGGATTTCTAAATGTCAGATGGAGAACGAGGTCTATAAATCCCCTTCCCTAAGCACAGATTATAAACTTTCGAGACCAATTGATATCACTGGGGATACTGTGAATGGAATTCTATCAAAGATGGCAACTACTGATTCTAAATGTGGCATAAGCTCATACAATCCATCATTGAACTACCAAGCTCATACTCCAATGGAGTACAAGACTTATGCAAATTTTGGGGAAGACGAAAATCTGTAAGAATTTGACTAACCCATAGATTATCAAATTTAGGATCAAAGACACATGAGTTTAAATTCAGTAAGAAAGATTATGCGACTTTTGGGGACCATTTTGAGAAATTCCAGAGCCATCCTACTTCGCATCATTATTCTCATGAAGAACTCTCCTCTATCGACGTTAAGAACCAGCATATGATGGATATGGGAGAAAGACCTGCTGGTATTAAATCCAGGACAGCTAAGAAAGAGCTAAATTTATTTAAAGGCTAATTCAATAGAATTATTTTTTAATGGGGTTTTGGGGTTTTGGGGTTTTGGGGTTTTGGGG